CTCCTCAGCCTCTTGGCACCTGGGGCTCAGTTTGACCCTCTCCCTGCTGTCAGCATTACTCACAACTGTACAGATGTGTTTGTTGTGGCTTCTATACTTCTTGATACTGTCAGAAATAATCTGGAAATGGTTTTATTTTGTGAAGTGAGCAATACTTTGTAATTTACAACAGTGTGAATGGAAGGAAAAGCATTCCATGTATTAAATGCTCTCTCTGTCCATCATTTTGGAGTGTGTTAAGGGCGTGGTATCTTGGGGACAGGAAAGGAGACTCTTCAAAACCTTGTTTTCAGATACATTTGACAGTGGATTCTATCTTATCAAACTACAAGATGAAGAAGGAGGGCCTCGAGGAAGTCCCCAACTCACCTGAGCCACCCCAAAGAGTTCACAGCTCATGTGGGTAACCCCAAAGCATGCCCACGTCCCCTGGGCAACCTGTTCCTCCATGCACTGTCTCCTGGGCTGCCTGCTGGGAGGTGAAGACTCTTCACTTCTGAAGGGCACATTGCACCTACTCTCCCTCCCTGCTGTGTCGCCTTTAAGAGTTTTGAGAAAATGATGCTAGGACCTAACAAAGGACAAGGATTTTGGAATCAGAAAGGCCCAAGTTGATTCTAGACTGACTGGCCCGATACCAGATCTGACTGGTGGGAGCAGGAAGTGGGATTTAGAGGAGGGAGTCTGGGGATGAGCCTGTGCCTCTAGAAATATGACCATAACATTCAGATTGCAGCATTGTGAAGGACTGTGTGGACTAAAGTAAAAGTTATCAAGTTTTATCACTTTTAAGAGTGGCTTGCTGGGGTGAGGCGGGCATCGTCACAGGGGAGTAGGGAGGAAAATAGCATGAGGAGAGAGGAATTTGCCCTGGGTTAAGGGAAAGTCCCAGCGATATTCAGGGACACTGGGACATGGCTCAGTAGTGTGCTGTGAGGAGATTCACTTGACTCTGTCTGCAAGGATCCTAGCAACTGATCCTTTCAGGCTTGATTTAGTCTGTAGCCTGCTCACCACATCTGTCACCCAGACCATCTGGCAGCCTGACATAGCTCCTCTTCAAGTGGGATAATACCAACTATAAAGAAGAAGCAGTTTTGAAGATTTCCACGAGGGATGGGGCCGGGTGAGTGGGAGAAGACAGGAGTAAGGTGGAGGGGTACTGTTGCCTTCCATCACTGTGAATGGATTTTTCAGAAGCTCTGTTCCTGACTCGGGCTTGGGTCTGGTTAAGTTAAGGATAGCAGCAGAGGCCAGCAAAGGAAAGGGAAAATGAAGCTGCATCCGGGGTGGAGGGAGCATCAGGGAGAAACAGCGTCAGCCAAACGAGGGCCTGTCTGGCCTGGCCTCACTCCATTGAAAACCAATGTGGGTGGCATGAACCCAACCTCTGTCCAAGTCTAATTTATAGATGTTCTTTAGTTTTTAAAAATGTAACACTTATTAGCTTCCAGCAAATCCGTGTCAAGCTTCCCTTACTCTGAAAACCTGGAGGCAAGGGAAAGGTTTATCTCAGGAAAGGATTAAATAATAAGTTTAGTCTGGCTGGAAGAGAAGCCTGGCCCTGCTCAGGGTTTCAGCCTCTAATGTAAGGGGTGTGGGTGCCACTGTTGTTTCCAAAGAAACTTTAAATTGTCTTTTGTCTTATGTTTACAGAAAAGTGGCCAAGGTGCTAAAGAATTTTTACATAGCTGTGAGCCAGTTTCCCATAATGCTACTGGCCTGTGAAACCAGGGCACACCCGGGCAAACCAAGAAATCCACACTAGCATTCTTCTGTTCACTGAACTATCAACTTCAATGGGTGTTTCCATTAATTTCTCTTCTGTCATTGTATCCCAGGAACAAGCTATTCACACAGCACTAGTACATGTTCTTGGGGATCTATGAGATATCTCCACATATAAAGACTCTTGCTACACATGTCTGGCAAGTTGAGTTCGAGTCCTGGAAAGGATCTGTGTCAACCGACTCAGCAAAGTTGTCCTCCTATCCACACACATGCTATGGCACACATATCACACTCATACATCACACACACACACACACACACACACACACACACACAATTGTAATAAAATAAGTAAATAAAATAAAGGGGAACATGAAACTGCTGAGGTGGCTAAATGGGTTATAAACTTGCTGCATGTGCTTGATAATCTGTGTTTGGTCTCCAACCCATGGTGGAAAGAGAGAAGCAACTTCTGAAAGTTGACCTCTGACCTACACTGTGGCACATGAATGCTCATACCCATACACATAATACACGCTAATGAAAACTTAGAAAGGAAATGTGAAATGCTTGATTGTGGTCCCTCAGAGAATGTGGGAGCATGCAGGGAACTACAAGCATCTGTAGTTGCTCATGGCAACAAGGCTGAGATGCTGGTAGCCTAGGCCAGGTAGAGATAATAAGCACTGCTGGGTTGCAGTTAGGAAGTGAAGTTGAGACTATAGATTGGATTTAAGAATCTGATCTAATGCCCAGGTGCCTACTTCAGCAGTCATGCAGTATTTATTTACTAAAACAAAAGGCACACACAGGAACTAGGTGTCACTGGGAGGAGGAGACATAGGAAAGGTTGGAACTAGTGACATGAAACCAATAGGGCTATTTCAAAGTACAGGAGCTTTCGCTGATTCCTGGGCTGGAGATACCGGTTTTAGAAGGATTCAGTGCACATAATGGCTGAGAGCGCAGAGGGGGCACCCAGGGAAACCAGGCAGGCATCTCCAGAGCACTAACATGCAGGCGAGGAGAGACCGAGGAGAGGGGGAGATGAGACCCATTGCAATGTAATAAAACACTGAGGCTTTCCATGAGCGCTTCAGAAAGTATCCCATCCTTGGGGCTGGAGAGATGGGTAAGAGGGCTGGCTGCTCTTGCAAAGGACCAGAGTTCAGTTTCCAGCACTCCTTTTGGATGGCTCACAACTGCCTGTCACTGCAGCTGCCGGAGATCAGTGCCATCTCTTGGTGACCATGGGCACCCGTGCACACATGCTTCCATACACTCAGAGAGACACATGTATACACATAAACACAAATGATACAAATCTTTTGTACATACCTTATATTCTGCTTAGCATCACAATGTCCTTGTACTTTTCATTGTCCTTTTGTGTTAGCTAGGCTTAAGGCATCTAACACAGTTAGACCTGTGTTCTGGAGAGGTTTGCTTCATTAGGGGCTTTGTAAATACAAACAAGCCATGCTATGGTCTTATTGTTTGTGTTCCTCTCTCCCAAGTTCATATGCTGAAGTCTCATTCCCAGTACCCTGGTACTTGGAGGCAGAGCTTTCCAGAGGTGATTAGGTTATTAGTGTGGGGCCCCACTACTGGAATTAGTGTCCTCATAAAGAAGAACCCAAAGATCTCTCTTGTCTTCTCCACTGTGAGAAAATAACTTCTTGTGAACCAGACAACAAACCTGCCAGCATTTTCTTCTTGACTTCTCAGCCTCCAGAAATGTAAGTAATAAGTGTATGTTGTTTGCAAACCACCCAGCCTATGGGAATTTGTTATAGCAAATTGATTTTGTTGCTGTTGCTGTGACGAAACACTATGACCAAAGCTACTTCAAAGGGTTACACTTGGCTTACACCTCTACATCTCTGTTCATCAACAAAGGAATTCAGGACAGAACCTCAAACAAGGCAGGAACCTGGAGGTAGGAACTGATGCAGAGGCCATGGAGGGGTGCTGCTTACTGGCTTGCTCCCTGTGCCTTGCTCAGCCTGCTTTCTTATGGAATCCAGGGATGGCACCATCCACCATGAACTGGGCCCTTCCACATCAATCACTAATCAAGAAAATGCCCTACAGCCTGATCTCAACTGAGGCTTCCTCTTAGCATCTGTCAAATTGACATAATATTTCCAGGCGCAAGTATGAGTAGACTTAGGTAGTTAACAGTATTATCAGTATTAAATTATGTTTCCTAATCTAAGTTGAAAGATTTTATCACACTTCAGGTTCCTCCTTGTTGCCTTCCTACTGATGACTTGCTTTTGTGTTTCTAATACAGGATATCACAAACTACAGTAATTGTATATACAGCTTCTTCCCACTATAATACAAATTCCTTTAGATAAGAATCGTGGCTACCACTTGCATAAGTAGCACATGGCATATCTCCTCTGACACCTTCCCTGGCTTCCCAAAGCAGAGAATGCAGGAAGTGCCAGCTATAGTGTATGAGAGAGCATATGGGTTGTTTGGAAAACTAAAGTGGGTGAGGAATGGAAGACAATGAGAGCAAATATTCAGGCCAGCATAAGACATGTAAGAGCCCAGGTGCCAAGGATGTAAGTTCCGTGATTAAAGATCCATTGAGTGGCAAGACAAAACAGAAAGTAAAAGACTAGAGGCTCCATGCCAATCAGGATGCCCTTGTAGGCAGCGGCAGTCAGGCTCAGCTCGTTCACAGCATGAGCAACAAGAGAAATCCAGGTGTGAGCTTTTGGAAGGTAGTCAGGACCTACTGACAAGGACCAAGTTCAAAGGACAGGGTCTCATATGAGTATCACTACTTCATGTTTTCATCACTAACTAGTTGTTTAAGAAAATAAAGGGATCCAGAAGAAAAGTGGGGTCTGCAGGGAGTTGGGGGTTTAGTCTGTGTGTTAGCATCAATGGTGTAAATGTCTGGTTGTCGTTTAAACTCAAGAGGGAGAATGAGCTGATAGACAGGGCTCAGAATGGTACCATGGCCACCTGGCATGAAGAGAGCCAAGAAGATGTCCCAGAAAAAACAAAATCTAAGAAGTATCAAACTCAGACAACCTGGGGAAGAACAGAAGTGGCCACAGGAGGCAGTCAGCAGACGACAAAAGCTGGGAAGACACCACTTAAGGAAAAGGCCACGTTCTGCACTCTGACACTTCGACTTCGAGACAGTGGTATCAGCAAGAAGCGCTTCGGTGAGGACATGACCTGAAGGGCAGATCAGTGATGGGAGTGAATGCAGCGAGAAAAGAACGGACAACTCAGAGTCAAACTCACAAAGAAAAGCAGACCAGAACTTGTTTCATAGGCTAATCAATTTCCTACGTATGTAAATGGCATCCAATAGAAAAATCATAGTTGCCAAATGCATAACTTCTCATAATCTCTTTAACAGCTGTGCACTTCAAAATCTTCAGCATTAATAAAGTATTACTGGAACATATTTTGACCACCTCAGTTGCCAAGCATACCTGCCTCTTCATTTCTAAACTGTGTGTAATCTTGGCCTGTAGTAGTTCTCTATCTGAAAAAATGGATACAATAACATAATAAGCTGCTCTCCTGGCACCCCAGACATTTCAACGGGTCAGTTGATATCCCAACTGTGAATACTTCAAGCTCAATGCAAAGTGTGTAGGAATGCACAAGTATTAGTTGTATATCCAGCCCCAATCTTCCAAAGTCAGTCCCCTGCCTGATGGGACAAGACAAGTTTAACTCATACTGGTGGGTTTGGTGACCCAGAAGGCACAGAACTGGAAAAGAGGATCCTGTCAAGGACAATATGAGGCTACAAGCACTGGAGAACAGGCCCAAAAGAGCTCACCTTGGAAAGAGCATCCAACTTTCATGGCCAAGTAGAAGGGCCTGTGTGGGTTGTGGATGTGGGACCTCTCTAGGAGAGTGCTGCCCAGCATTCACAAGGCCCAGGTTCAACCCCCAGAACCACAAAGAAAAACAACAGCAAAAAGTTTACATTCAATGTCCTGGGACAGCAAGGTAGCTCAGCAGGTGAAGGCACTTGCTGTCAAGCCAGACAATCTGAGTTCAATCCCAGGAACCCACATGATGAGAGAATTGACTCCAAGATGTCTCCATCTTCCAAAAATATGCTGTAGCAAGCACTCACCCACAGGCACCTACACACAGAAATAAAAATAAATTTAAAAAACTGTATCAAGACAAAAATAGTTCTCCTCATACCAAAGAATCAGTGCCATGGCTAAGTCAACAATAAGTCTATGTGTTCACATACATGGTGTTATACAAACTGCATGTGTGTCTGGGAGAGGGGCATGAAATTCTTTTCCAGTGAGTCATAATAATAAAACTTTTTTTTATAATTCATCAAGCTCCTGGATGGATCCCAGTGACTCCTCCCTGCCTCATGAGCAAGTCCAGTGCCGGCGTGGTCAACTTCATATCAATACCCATAAAGACTTCTTGAGTATGAATGAAGGGACATACACCAATCTATTGGAAGTATTAGTGGTATATTTCTCCCTCCGGAAAGGCTATTTGAAAAAATGTATATGTGTGTAGAAGGGTATGTGCCCCAGTGCACTCACAGGCCAGGAGGTGTAGTATGAACAAGTAAAAGACCCAGAGACTGATATTAGGCTTCAGGGTTCAAGCTTCAAACTGAAGATCCGAAAAGCAAAACAACTGGTAACAAGCTCTCACTCTACCTCAGACCGAAATATGATCCGGTCTCCACCGAATCTCAGACTGCAACTTCTTCTCACCATGGCTGTAGAATCCTAAGACTTCAATGTCTTCCTATCCTCAGTGTGAGTAGAGAATGAATGTCTGATACTGAGACCTTACTCCTATCTTATATACCTCCCTAGAGCTGGGATTAAAGGTGTGTGATCCCAGGTGCTGGGATCATCTTTGTGTGAGCTGTTTCTCTTTAGGACTGGATGAATCTTGTGTGGATCTGGGTGGCCTTGGACTCACAGAGATCCATCCACCTCTTAATCCTGAGTCTTAGCATTAAAGGTGTGTATCACAACCTCCTAGCATCTGACTCTGGAATTAAAGGTGTATGCCTGTCTTCATTGGCTTTTAGCTGACTTTGCTTTATGAATCCTCAGGCAAGCTTTAATAAATCATAAATAATATATCACCACAAGAAGAGGGTGTCAGATCCCCTGGAGCTGAGCTCAAGCAATTGTGAGCTGACCAGTGTGGATGTTGGGAACTGGACTGAAGTTTCCTTTGAGAAAATGCTCAGGGTGAACCGCTGAACCATCCCTCCAGCCTCAGGAAATTTTTGTGTCACATGAAATAAAACTCTGATTGGCAAAGACTTAATAATGCATCTGCTAGATGAACAGAAAGTTCAAGTATAGGATCCTCCAAGCCTGGTGGTTCTGTCTTCCTGACAGTCAGCATTTCTCTCAGGGTTTGACTCCAGTGTTTATTTACATGGCTGCTTTGTCCCAACTAATGGCAAAGAATCCTTTAGAGGAGTCTTCATCAGCTGCCAACCATGCTGGCCAGGAAGGTTTTGCATGTGAAGGGCTAAGTCAGTCACTGGTGAGGGCAATGAGATCAGCAGGGACGTTTACACATGGTGGTTCACAAAGAAAGATTCCATGGTGGTGAGCATGACTCAGGTTTGAGACTCTGAAAACAATATTTTTTCTATTTCCCATTTCATTTTTAATTGAAAATAGATTCTTCTCTCATGTAATACATCCCTACCATACTTTCCCCTCCCTCCACTTCTCCCAGCACCTCTGCCTACCCCCATCCACTTCTCCATGATTTCCCTTCAAAAAAGAACAGGCCTCCAGTGACAACAACAAAACAAAATACAAGACAAGGTAAAAGCCTTCAAACCAAAGCTGAACAAGTCAACTCAACAGGATGGAAGAGAGTCCCACGCACAGGCAAAGGAGTCAAAGACATTGACTCCCACAGTTAGGAGTGCCAAGAAAACACCAAGCTACCAGTCTCCACATACAGAGGACCAGGTGCAGATCCTTGAAGGCCCTATGCTTGTCATGTCAGTCTCTGTGAGCTGATGTGAGCCCTGCTTAGCTGATTCAGAGGGTCATGTTGTCCTGGTATCTTCTATATCCTCTGACTCCTACAATCTTTCCACCCCCTCTTCCACAGGATTTCCTGAGCTCACCAGGGAGAGACCACATGGAGGCCTCCAATTTATGCTTTCTCCCTGCTTAATGTTGGACTGTGAGTCTCTGTACCCATTCCCATCTGCTGTCAGAAGAAGGCTTTCTGCAAGGAAAACTGTGCAAGGCACTGACTGACCTAAGAGTATAGTAGAATATCATTAGGGCAATTTCATTGATTGATTGATTGACTGATTGATTTAAGACCAGTTGTGTTTGGTTCTACCTAGGTCTCCAGGCTATCCAGTCTCCTGTTCCTGGCCATCTAAGCAGTGTCAGGCACAGGGTCCCTCTTTTTGAGTTTGCTTCAAGTTAATTCAGACAGTAGCCGGCCACTCTCAGAATTTCTCTACCACCATTGCCCCAGCACATCTTGCAGAAAGGACAGATTGTAGGTCAGAGGTTTTGTGGCTGGGTTTATGTCCATGTATCACTATTGGTAGCCTGCAGAGTACCTTCCTGCACCAAAGAGACTAGAACACAGGGGTGATGGCTCCACACGGGGTTCAAAACTGGACCTCTTCACCTTCAATGAGCTCTGTGGATGTTGTCCTTGGTGATGGGGCCCCAGGAACAGTTTGTAGAGAGTGATCCTATGTCCTGGCATCAGCCTGGGTTGTTTGGGGATCTCTACAGGATCCCTTTGGCCAACAACTCAACCAAATGCAGCTCAGTACCACTTCTTGGATCCTTGCCTATCTACAAGAGATGGCTGGGTCAGACTCCATATCCACCTTTACTAGGAGTCTGCGCTAGGATCTGCCTCACAGATTCCAGGAAATTCACACTGCACTGTATTCCCACACTGCTCTGGTTCCCCACACTGCCCCGCAATGCTCCCAATTCCAGGCATCTCTCCCCACACCCATTCCCGGCCACCACGCTGAAAAATCTGTTCTAGTTCCCCTTCCCAGGAAGACCCATGTGTTCCCCACTAGAGCCTGTTTGGGTCTACAGATTATAGTGTGGCTATCATTTACTTAACAGCCAATATTCACTTATAAGTGACTTCATGCCATTTTTGTCTTTCAGGATCTGAGTTACCTCATTTGTAATGTTTTTTTTTCTAGTTCCATCCATTTGTCTGCAAGTTTTGTGATGTCATTCTCTTTAAGAGCTGAATAATACTCCATTGTGTAAATGGCCCACATTTCTTTCCATTCTTCGCTTGAAGGACATCCAGGTTGTTTCCTGTTTCTGGCTGTTGTGAATAAAGACTCATTGAGTGTAGTTGAGCAAGTGTCCTTGAGGTATGATGGAGCATCCTTTAGGTGTATACCCAAGAGCGGTATGCCTGATTCCTGAGACCTCGGACTGGTTAGTAAGTCAAGGCATTGGGCATGACTCTAAGCAATTTCATTACAAGATAAAGTTTGGCAAGCTGAGGTTAAGAATAATCAGAATTCATATCGGAGTCAAGGATGGGTATGTTGATAATGGAGGGAAAATAGAATTCCCTGGTAAGCAGACAGTGACTATACAGCATTAAGCAGACTGTTGCATTCGTAAGGGGTGCATAGAATCGTCTGAACCTCCTTGAGTCACTCAGGGCTCCAAATGTCCCAACTCCATAACTCTCCCGAGAACTCTAGTGTAGCACTGTTGAAACTATCAGCTTCATGAGGGCAGGAATCTTAGCCCTGCTCCTACCTGGAATCGTACCTCACATTTAGTAGGCACCTCAGGCTTAATGGCATGTGTTTCTCTCACAAATACAATTCCCATTTGGGTGCAGTGGAGGGTAAGGGGGCGGGAAACCAGGAGCATCTGTCCTGTGCAGGGGGATATAGCCTATTGAAAGTTTGCATCCCTGCAGGATCACTGGATTTAGAGCCATGTGTCACAGCTTGGCCCAGTGTCAAAGCTGTTTAACATTTCTGAGTTTCAGCTTTCTCTCTTTTGAAACATGAAAATCAATGCCTGCCTGCCTGCCTACCTGTTCAGCCCATTTACTTCATGGACTTGTCACTGAAGGCAGATGAGGTTGGAATGGGTGTGAAGCATTGCCACACACCCTCACACACCTCACTACCCATCCCCATCCTCGGGCTCATCCGACCATCCTCCTTCGATAATGCACATGTGTACCTCAAAAACTATTGTGTTCTCTTCTTGTTTTCAGGCAATCACACCCACTCTGCCTTTGAATACTATCTGTCAACAACTCTAAATTAGCCTCAAGATTCAGCAAGGTACCTTGTGTCCCGTACAAATCCCTTCTGCCTAAACTAGCCTGAAAGCAAGTCACATAGTCAAGGCTCACGATGAGTCTTATCCCTGCTGCTTAGCTCTCTAGAACCCATTCACACACACTCCATTTGTAACTCATTAAAAGATCTTTAAAGTTCTAAATAAATCAGAGGCCTTGGCCCCATTTTCCCAGCTGCCACCATTCTGTGACATATGTTATGTCTTACTTCATATGTTCAGTAGATGCATGGTTTATACGAGTACCGATGTGATGATATAAGTCAACAACCTATCTTCTCCATGTTTTGGGGATATATCTATACTGACATACAGATCTAGTCCGTCCACTTTAACAGTTGCAAAATGCTGTATTGAATAATTTAACATTTCTAATGTCAGAGACAGAAACTACACCATTTCCCTTTTTCTAATGATGCCCAACATCTCCAGATGTATTTTCATTAAAATTCTCCATCTGTTCAAGTGGGGAGCTAAATCATGAAGGGGGTTATGATCAACATCAACGTGACTAGTATAGCATGCTCCCCACTGATGGCACCAGCCCATATTCTCCCCAGCCATGTTTGGGAGTGCCCACACTTGGTTTCCTTGTCAAAGTTTGGCATCATCGTAGCTAAATATTTTTTGCCAGACTGGTGAAATAAAAATACCATGGTTTGTTTTAATTTTTATTTCCTTGATTTCCATTGAAGTTGAGCAATATTTTGGTTTAATAACCATTTGTTTGTCTCCTCTGGGAAACTGGTCATTCTTAAGTTTTACCCGGCCTCTATTTGTCTCATCTCTCCTGATTTGAGTTATTTATGAATTCCAAACTATCTCTCTTTCAGTCATCCATATTCTGTGAATAGCCAAAGCATCTTGAAAAAGAGGAAAATACTGCTGAAAGCATCATCATGCCTGATTTCAAGCTGAGCTAGGGAGCCATGGCAAAAAGACAGTGTGGTATTGGCACAAAACAGATCAGGGAAGCAGAATAGAGGATCCAGACATAAACTCAAGCAATCTCAGCCAAAGATTTTGGTTTTGACAAGCCAGAAACCACAGTGGAGAAATGAAAGAATCTTCAACAAATGGTGCTGAGAAAACAGGAAACCAACATGTACAAGAATGAAATAGATCCTGCACTAATTCGGATTCAGATGACTCAAAAAGCATAAAACAAAGACCAAAAGAGCCAGAGGAAGTGTGCTACAGGAAGTATGCAATAGGAAATGCACTGTAAGAGGTGTGCTATAAGAAATGTGAATAGGAAGTGCACTACAGGAAGTGTGCTACAGGAAGTATACAATAGGAAGTGCACTATAGGAAATGTGCTGAAGGACAAAGACAGAGATTTTCTAAAGAAGACCCTGTTTGTTCAGGAATTAAGGCAAACAATTGACAAAATGAGACCTCGTGAAGTTAAAAAGTTAGTGTGCAACCAAGGAAACTGTCGACTGAATGAAGAGACAGTCTACAGAACAGGAAAAAATATTTACCAGTTACATGCTTGGCAGAGAACTAACATCTCAAATATACAAAAGAACTCATAAGAACTAAACATCAAGAAAAACAGCCTGAACAAAAAAGGGAGTGAGTGAAATGGAAGAGTCTTAAAGGAGGCATGTGTTTTATTTCTAGACCCCCCCCACCTCTGACTCTCTTTGGTTTTGATGGTAAATTGACATAAGCTAGAATCATCAGAGGAAGGAGCTCAGCTAAGGAAATGCCTCCTTAAGATCCAGCTGTAGGACATTTTCTCATTTAGTGATTAATGGGGAAGAGCCCAGGCCATGGTGGGTGGTGCCATTCCTGAGCTGATGGTCCTGAATTCTATAAGAAAGCAGGCTGAGCAAGCCATTGGAAGCAAGCCAGTAAGTAGCACCCCTCCATGGTTTCTGCATCAGCTCCTAGCTCTGGGATCCTGTCCTGTTTGAGCTCCTGTCCTGACTTGACTGAGAATTGAACTTTGTAAGAACAGTATGTGTTCTTAACCACTGAGCCATCTCACTAGTCCCAAGGAATTCCTGTGATTTTTTCTATAAACATTTTAATAACATGCAGCCCTTAAATTTATATATACATACATACATATATATACATATATATATATATACTGTTTTAATAAAATAAAAACAAAAGAGAGTCATGATGTCTGACATACCAGAGACATTACTCCACAGGTCTTGTCCTTCTGTGTCACTCTGTGATGCAGGTTATTTGTTGAGACCCCAGAACTATGGTCTAACAGTGACCTTACTTCTGAGGCTCTCTACCTACGGTTTGTTAATCCTATCTAATGTGTTGTGTGTGTCTTGCTCTCAAGCTTATCCCGGAATACTTCCTCCATTAACTAGGTAATTAGATTTGGTGCTTAGAGATAAAGAACCTCCTGAGTCATACAGAAAACTTACTCCTGACTGGATGGAGTCATTGAGGATGTTCCTGAAAGCAGGGTGACTCAGAACGAATTATTGTGTTTTACATACTCTACGTAGAGTAAATGATGCTGTTGGGGGCAGGAACTGGCCAAGGCCATCAATATTAACAGCACTTTGTTAGACTTTGATGTTATTTTCAAAAAGACTTTGGAATTGATTGGTGAATTGGTTGATTGACTGGTTGGTTGGTTGTTTGGCTGGCTGGCTGGCTGGCTGGCTAACTGAGAGAGTTTGCTTACACAAATATCAGCCAATAAAAGAAATTAATCACAGGAAAAACAAGCATTCACTGGGTGTCTACAGCATGGACAGTATACTAGGGAACTAAATAAGCATTTGTCTACTTCAGTCCTGGCTGCCACCCAGAGAAATCAATGGGATTATCCCCATTTTACATACAAGGAAAGCAGAGCCTGGAGATACCAAACAATTTCCGCAAAGCCACTCACCCAGCATCCAACCCAACCATCAAGTCTTTTGTGTAAGAAACTCATATTATTACAACCCCCTCAGCTAATCCACACTGTTTTGAGTGCTCTGTGATCCCAGGGTGCATTGTCACTTAAGCAACCATGTGTGATTTAGCTTTGTCTTGAAGGGAAAGTTGGAAGATAGTGACATAATCAGAATTTTTGAAGTATGACTCTTCTGATAGCCTTGATAACAACAAAAGTTTGTCGATCTAATGATTAACTAAATGAAAGTCAAGACTTAAGTAGGCGTATGGAGAACTGTACTAACTGAAGTCTGCTCAAAGTCACTCCCCCTCTCAACTCTGGTGACCTTGAAGAAACTGCTTCAACTTTCAAGATGATCCTGTAAGACTGGGCGTGCCTTCTCTCAGAGAGGCTCTGGCCACTAAAAGTGAGCAGCCTGCACTGAGATTCAAAGTTTACTTCACAGTTGCAGCTGTGGTACTTCCTCTTGCTTTGGAAATGAAATTGCCTAAATGCTCACTAAGTGAAAGTATGCAAAGGAGATGCCACTGTGCTTGTCCCGAGGACACGCGAGTACCCTAAACATCAATAACTCCCATGACATTGGACAATGGCCTTAACAAAGGTGAGAGAAGCCAGAAGATCACCATGCACCAGGTTCCCCTTTCATCAGATAGTCACCTCTGTTGTGCTCATGTGACACACCATGCTGACACATTGACTGACCACAAAACAGAAACCACGGCCTGGCAAATGGAGCATAACAGAACTGACACTTTGCACAGGGACATGAACATCATGTAGAGATCGGGTCGCCTTTGCAAGGAGCCCTCACCTGGAATCAGGTGGCTAGTAGGAGAATCTTACCTTAAACAGCAGCGTGTGACTTCCACCTACATCAATGGTTTTCTGACTAATAATAAAGCTGAACTCCAGTTGTTTCCTGAGTAAGGCCAGATGTCTTATTGAGCCTTGCTGGTAACTGTCCTGCTCTGAATTCCTTCAGTTCAGTTTTCTTCCAATATGCTAGCAGTAAACAAACAAACAAAACCAGATTTGTTCTAACAACCACACTCATGTATCATAATTAAAGAGTAATCAAGCTGTTGTCACAAGGAATGATTTATCGAAAAATGCATTTTGTTGCTGTCTCATTGTTTTTCTTTTATAACTATTTTATAATCAGACAATCCATATCTATGCCTTCTGTGATAACTCCTTCAACAATACTGAGGATATTGTTGCAGGCACCATACCAGGTACAAAGGTTCATCAGTGACACATCTTTGCTTTCGTGGAGAGACACACAGTGGAGTGGTGGGCTGTGACCTCCACTTTGAAGCAGTCTTCCTGGGGTCACATCCCAGCTCTGGCACCAACCAGCTATGTTCTGCAAAATAGTATGTTCTTCATCCCAGATCTATAATAATAATAATGTCTATGTCATGGAGCTTTTAGGAAAATGAACATTTATAGTATGCTAAGAGGTCATCCCAGAACTGTACTTGATACAAAGCAGGTATGACGTAGATGATGGTTACGTAAAATGGGACTATTAACTAGTGAGGGGGCCAGGTGATTAAACAAACAAATAGATGAATGAATAAGAATGTCAGGTGAAGAAGACAAACACCAAGCAATATGTGTACTATAACAGCATATTCTCTGCCTTCGGTGGGGGCGGGTGGGGGTGAGGGGGTGTTGGATGGATTCTCCGCTGAAAGAATTGAACACAGAAACAACTTCTGTCTTGGTAGTTTCTGAAGCAAAAAGGGCATGTTCACAAGCCAGGGACTAACCCAAGATAAAGATTAACAGAAGATGCTGTCCTCATTAACTCCAAGTCCCCAGGGGACCTGATGACTTCAGTGAGGACATGACATAGCAAAAGATCTTTCTGTTCATCTTCCCACAGGTCTGCATGCATGGTTCCATTACAGAAGAACAGGAAGCCTGGCAGGGGTGGGGATGAAGAGTAAAATCACTGATGGATGTGTCCCCAGAGAGCATGGATACAGACTCCTGCCCAAATGGATTTGTTTTCTTTGTTTCGAGCAGTGGTGGTGCGCCTGTGTGCTAGCTTCCCTGAATTCTTGAAGGTCCCACAAGTCATATGTGTCCTGTGCCTTAAATAGTTCTACAAGTAACTAGGAAATAAAAGAACCAAGTATGATGTTCAAGAACTGTCAGAAAAGACAAAATAAATAGACTTTTCCCTTAGTTAGGGTGTTTATTGCTGTGAAGAGGCACCAAGACCACAACTACTCTCACAAAGGAAAAACAATTAAGGTAGCTTACATTTTCAGAGGTTTAGCTCATTATCATTATGGCAGGGCATGGTGGTGTGCAGGCTCACATGGTCCTGGAGAAGTAGCTGAGAGTTCTACATCTTGACTCACAGGCAACAGGAAATATCCTGTCTCACTGGGTGTAGGTTGAGCATAGATGAGACCTCAAAACCTGCTTCCACAAGTGGCACAGTTTCTCCAACAAGGCCATACCTATTTCAACAAAACCACAGCTAATAATGTCACTCCTTTGTGTGTGGGGGTACTATTTTCTTTCAAATTACCACAACCTACAAAGGCCTCAAACTTTTGAATAATGGAGCTTATGTAGGTTATATTTAAAGAAATATATATTACATATATAAACCTTTAAGAAATAGGAAACCATAATGACCTAACATATCTGAAATAAACCTAAAGAGAATATTTATCAAAGATGTAGTTACAATGCACAAACTAATGGAGAGATTTAACATGTTTCTAGATGTAGCAAAAAAGAGAGAATATATCATCATATGGATCAAAAGGAATAATCCAGAACACATCACCGAAAGCCAAAGGGGGCGGGGAGAAGGCAAATTGACCAAGAAGGCAAGCTGAGGCAGCTGGTAATGCTTGGAAAACTGGCTGAGAGTTGTAAAAAACTGAGCAAAGAATCAAATACACTAAACAATACAACAATGAAAAATAATCTGCATTTACATACTGAGTAATAGTGGAAAAAACTAAGGCAGGGAGAAAAATCTTAAGAGTGGAGGGTGAGGAACCAATTACGTTTAAAAGAAGTTACACATTGACAGTTAACTTTTCAACAGAAATAATGTAGTGTGTGTGTGTGTGTGTGTGTGTGTGTGTGTGTGTGTGTGTGTGTGTGTATGTAACCTAATATTTGATACCTATCAAAGATACCATACCAGAACTGGAACAAAATAACAAAGACTTAAAGAGATCATCACCAGCAAATTATTGAGGAAATTATGAATGATAATGGTTCATCTCAATTGTCAATTTGAGGGCAGGTAAAACCACCACAGGAACAAATCTCTAGGCATGAACATGAGGGATTTTTCAGATGGCGTTAGTCAACATGGGAAGACCCACCCTAAACATGAGAACTACCATTCCATGAGTCTTGAATGAGTGAAAAGGAGTTAAACAACAGTATTCACTACTCTCTGCTTCCTGACTGTGGATAGGATGTGACCTATTGTCCTGGTTAAGGTTTTGTTTGTTTGTTTGCTTTTATCAACTTGACACAACATAAGAGTTGTTCAAGAAGAGGAACCTTGATTGAGAAAAGGTCCTGCACAAGACTGGTCTGTGGGCAAGCCTGTGGGTATTTTCTTGATTAATGATTGATGTGGATGGGTCTGGCCCCCCAGGGTTGGAGTGGTACTGTCCCTGAGCCTGTAGTGCTGCGCTGTGTAGAAAGCCGACTGGTGAGGTCATGGAGAGCAAGCCATACACAGAACTCCACATGACCTCTGCTTTAGCTCCTGCCTTCAGCTTTCTGCCTTGAGTTCCTCCCCTAACTCCTTCAGTGACGGACTGTGACTTGGAGTGATGGACTGTGACTTGGAGTTAAATACACGTTCCTCCCCAAGTTGCTTTTGGTCATGGAGTTTTACCACAGCAATAGAAACCCTAACTAAGGGACCTGCCAGAATGGACTGCACCCTGGAACTGTGAGCCAAAGCAAAATCTTGTAAAACTGTTTTCCAGATATTTTGCTGTGGCAACAAATAAGTAACTAATAGAGACATAATTGAAAGAAATGTCTCTAAGGGAGAATGTATGAGATGTAAGGACTACAGAGCAAAGTAAAAGGATAAACAGATGCCATTGAGAGGACGAAAGCAGTGCAGGCAACCCTAATTTAATAATTTTTCTATGCAGTGTGGCTCAGTGGGGGACAAGCGAGTTGTCACATAGGTTTCACTAGGGTGACAGAGGTCAGTGTGACTGAAGAGTAAAGACTTTTTGGGAAGAGAAGAATGAAATGACTTAAGACTGGTGTCATGTGACCATGCAGAATTGTGTCATGTAGAGCCTGTGGGTTATAACAGTTCTTTATCCAAAATACAGGAGGATCCTATGGAGGGACTGCAAGCATGGATATCATTGTTAAGTTG